AGACTGCGAAGCAGATTGTGGACCGCTTCGAGCCCCCCCCCCACACGAGCCCAATTTCTTTTTGCAGGAGGTTCCAGAATCTCTACTTCAGGGGGCGAGGCGGAAAACAATGCACGCCGCCCCGTTCATTTTCAGCGAGGGCATCGGGGGCCTGGAGTCTAGGGCAACGCTGCCTGGGATCAAGCGCAGTATGCGGGCTCCGGGGGCCTTTCGCACTCGCCGCCTTCACCTCGGATACAACCTCGGGGATGTCCTGGGCCACGAGAGGGTAGGATGAAGAACTTCGCGATGCCCGTCTGCTGTAGAAGGATCTGCGCCCTGGAGCTCGCCACCTCCTCTCGCGCCCGCCGCCGCTGGACCCCCTCGGGGCGTCACCCCGCGGACAAAGGGTCGCGCCTGCGGGGGCACCTTCGGCTCGAACATGGCGAGGGGGCCCCTGCCCCAAGGGGCCGTGGCGGCCGCGCCCCAGCGCCCGCTGGCGCAGGCGAGGCCCCCTTCAGGCCTCAGCCGGGCCCCCCGCGCCCCGACGCCTCGAGGTGGCCCGGCTCGGTTGCCGCGAGGCCCGGGCCCAGCTGCGGCCCGGCGACGCCATCCAGCAGCTGGCCGTCGGGCTCGCGCCTTGGATGCGAAGGAGAAGGAGCGCCTGGCGCGGGCGGCCCCCAACAGGGAGGCTCGCGCGAGTCTCCGTCGAGAGCTGGCGGGGTCCATCGGCGTCGGGGCGTCGGCGGGCCCCGACAGCCACATCGAGACCTTCGTGGGGGCCAACGCCGTCTCGGTGAGGACCCGCGCCACGCGCGTCAAGCGGGCGGGCGGCTTCGAGCGCTGGGCTCTCAGGATGGGCCTCCCTCTCACGTCGGCGGCGCCGCGGTCGACTACCTCAACCAGCCGTGGCTTGAGGGGATCGACGTCGGGAAGGCGACTGGCCTCTGCGCGGCACGGGCGAAGCTTCGACCGTCGTTCTCGAAGAAAGGCCCCGACAAGCTGGCGCGCGCCGCGAAGGCGCTGCAGGGCTTCTACAGGCTCGACCCTGGCAGGGCCAGGCCGCCACTGCCGCTCATCTTCGCGGCGCTTATCGCGACGGAGCTCGTCAATGACGGGAAGTTCGCGATGGCCCTGGCAGTGCTCCTCGTGTTCTCAGCGCACCTCGGACCTGTCGAGCTCTTGTCGTCGTAGATCAACGACCTGCCGCTCCCGACGCGCGGGGGCCAGCGCTGCGCCATCCACCTGCGCCGAGCGGAGAGGGGTCAGCCAAGCAAAGTTGGCTTGTGCGGCGAGACGTTGCTCTTGTCAGGAGCGAAAAAAGGACGTACATGCACATGAACCCACGCTGGTTTCGAGAGTACGCGTTGCGCAAATGTTGAATGACGCGGCCGGTCTCGCGGATCGAGGGGCCGTGCTCATGCACATAGCTGGGCGCGTGCGTCCTTTGTGGGCTCCTTCTCTTGGACTCGTCAGCCCCCCCGGCCCTCGGATATCTGGCGGCCGCGCTGCGGGCCGCGGCTGTCGGGCCAGCTCTTTCCGATTTCGACTGCCGGAGCTCGAGAGAGAGTCTCAGGAAGGGCGCCCGGGCGGCGGGCCTCTCGGCGACCCAGCCCGATCTCTGCCAGCTTCGTCGCGGCAGCCCCATCCCACGACATCTCGAATCGATGGGGGTCAAAAGCGGAGGTGAAGGACAGGGGCCGCTGGAGGGGCGATCGGCCTGCGCGCCGCCGCGAGGCTCGCGGTCGGGCGCAGCCGCAGGAGAAGCTGGTCAGCGAGGAGGCGCGGGGCCGTGCAGCCATGGCCCCGGCTGGGCTCGAGGAGACGCCCCCGTCGCGCACGCCGCGCGCCGCCTTGTGCCCGGGCGCCTCCTCGGCAAGAAAGTTGTCGAACTCTTCGGCGGCGAAGGCGGCCTCTCGAGAGCAGTCTCGGGGCTCGGCGCCACTTCAGAAGCTTGGGGCGTGAACGATGGAGATCGCGTTAATATTCTTCGCGCTCGTAACAGGAGGCGTCTGATATGAGATTTTCGCCTCGGCCTCGCAGTTGCCCCGCTCGCCGCCCCCCCCTGCCTGGCCTGGCCGCGCGCCCGCGAGGGCGATGGCAAAGGCCCGGGTCTTCTGAGGGGCGACGGGGCCAACCTTTGGAGCATCCCCAGTCTCGTGGGCCGCGATCGCGAACGCGCTGGCGTGTCACTTTTCGCATCATCTGCCAGCTCGTATCCCTCGGGGCCCCCGTCATCCTTGAGAACCCCATTCGCGTCTAGGGTCTGGCAAACAAGACATATAAAGTACCTTGGCAGAAAGCTTGCGGCTCGTATCTTGGGCGCCCGAAATTGCCGGCGCGGGGCCCAGTGGAAAAAGCGAACAGGTATCCTCATCATTCATTGTGACACCATACAGCAGTTCAAAAGATGCACTGGATCTGGGGGCCGGTGCTTTGCCGCAGGTCGCCAAGATCTCGTTCTGAGCGGTAAAGATTCCCAAGGTATTTTCCGAAATAGACGGGCCCAGGCCTGTCCGCACCCCTGTGCGACTTGTTGGCCTCCTCTTTCCTGTCCCACCTAAACGAGCAATATGCGTCCAGCTTGCACCCGTACTTGTCGATAACTAGTCAAGTTGAACAAGTTGTTTAGAACACTCCGTAGTGCACGTGGCTGTGGGCACGGGTGATAGAGCTACTTTTGCTGGCAATGATGTCCCGCCCACTCGTTGCCGTCTCTCGCTGCTGTGCACTGCCAGCTCGTTCGCGTACCCTGGCGTCGAGCCCCGTAACACTGCGCACGGCGCTGCCAAAAGGTTGTTGTACCAAATCGGAGGCCACGCCCTGCGCGTTCTGACACTGGAGGCAGCGGGATCATTGTATAGCTCACGAGCTATGACAAACGAGCCATGAGTGCCGTAGGATCATGTTCCGGCTCAAGTCCCCCTCCCTCTCACAAGCATTCAACCCTGGACTGGATGTCCAGCCAGGTTGGCATGTGTTTGCAACGCTGTTCTTACAGAACTCTCGCTAAAGCGGGAACAGATGTTTCCGTCTTGGGGTGATGGAGTATACTCGTTTGCTAATGATATCCCGCCCACTCGTTGCCGCGTCTCGCTGAAGTGCACTGTCAGCTCTTTCGCGTGCCTGGGCGTCCAGCTCCGTAGCGCTGTGCGCGGTGCTGTCAAAAGATCGTCGTGCCATATCTGAGGCTACGCCTTGCGCGTCCTGGCGCGGGTGGCACCGGGACCATGCAACTTCGCAGGGTTCGTGCCCCCCCCCCCCCCACCCACACACACACACACCTCCTGAAAAGGCTTCGCCAGAGCGCCAAGGAGGTGCCGCCAGAGGCCCCGTCAGAGCTCCAGGCAGCACCACGCATGGGATTTGCCAGGCAAATCATTTGGCATCCCCCGCGAGCCCGAACCTTCTGATCAGGTTTGGCGCCCAGCACAAAAAAGTTTCCCCACTCCCGTGGACGGACTTGACAACAACTGGTTGCAGAGAAGGGCACTGATGACCCGGAAGTCTGCGCGCGCCCTCTGCAGATACCCGACAGCTGAACGACCGCTGAAAACGAGAAGCCTAGAGCACAAAGAAACGGGAAACAAAAAACGCGCTCCCACGCGCGCGCAGAGGTCCCGAGCCAGCCCCAACATCAGGAGCAGGTGGATGTCTGCGTGATCGGGCATGGGGAGACCGAACACATGTGCAAAATAATCGAATGTCACGACGGGGCAGAGCGGAAGGTAAATTATAGGAAATAACAGTTCGATCAACCAAACAATGGCGACAGCGAGATTGTGAGATGCGCGGGAACGTGGCGCTCCGCGTTTTGACTATGCGTTTCTTTGCGTAGATGGCTTGGGCCCGAGAACGTTGGAAATCGTCGGTTTGGCCACAGCGGGGCTGACAGCGACACCCGTGGCTCATCTGCGACTGAACTTTGGCGCGCGCGTAGCGCGCGTTCTTTTAGTACATTTGTCAGGGCGTACACGTAATGCAACGCAATGTGTTGTAACCCAATGTAACGCAATGTATTGTAATGTAGTGGGATGGGATGTCATGTAATATAATTAGTGTATGCGTGTACATATGTATGTGTGTATGTATGTATGTATGTATGTATGTATGTATGTATGTATGTATGTATGTATGTATGTCGGTAAGATCGCATGTTTGTTTGTATGTATGTACATATGTATGTACGTGCATGTATCTATGCATTTACGCATTCATGTATGTACGCATGTATGTTTGCAGTTTCGTATAGTTGTGTGCCTCTCCCTCTCTCTCTTTATATATCTCTTTCTCTCTCTCTATATATATATATATATATATATATATATATGTCGAGGAACGCCGGGGGCAGGCCCAGAACCACGTGCCCGGGTTCGCATGGAGGCTCTGAGGGCCCCACGAGCACCCCCGTGGCCTCCACAGTGGCCCCATGGGCGAACAGATGGCCCACTAATTGGCACGATAGTTTACCGGACCGGTCCATCACACCCCGAGAGAAGCACAATTGCCTTATGGACGGCTTGCGAAAGGTGCCATGCTGCGCCAGGACGGCCTCGGGCAGGCTTCAGTAGACGCCCGAGGCCCCAGACGAGTGCCCCTGGACGCAAAAATCGTTGATTTCGTATTGGTTTTTCAATGTTTTTGGGGTCCCGCACTTTTCGAGTTTCAACAATCGCAGACGGCCCACGAGGCCCACAAGACCACCCCAAGACGAGCCAACAGGCCCCGAGGAGGGCCCCGGGACATTCTAACAGGGTTCCATGACAGCCCCAGGGGCGCCCAAGACGGCCCAAGAGGGCTCAAAGACGGCCACAAGATGGGCTCAAGAGGGGGAGCATGAACCGAAATTTCGAGTCCTTCGTTCCAAGAGGCTCCCAGAAGGCCCTAAGAAGGCGCCAGGACGGCCTCGGGCAGGCTTCAGTGGGCGCCGAGGTCCCAGACGAGTGTCCAGAGAGGCGAAAATCTCTGATTTCCCGTAGGTTTTTGAATGTTTTTTGGGGTCCTCCACTTTTCAAGTTTCCGACGCTCCAAGACGGCCCAAGAGGCCTCCAACATCGTTCGTACATTATGGCTCAAGTTTGGGCTGCAGTGCCTTCGGGTTAAGATGCTTTTGTGTTTGTGCGTTGATCTAGCTGACTTGACGCTTACCATTGGACAACATGGACTCATTCACGAGGCGTGGGTCATGTCGGAGCATCCATAATGATGAATATTTTGAGACCTACGTGAACCCTCACCCATTCGACAACACACCAGATGGCATGCGTACATCGTTGCACGGTATGGGCTCATCCATTTTGTAGTCGAGCGGCGGCGAGTCATGGATGAACGTTGACGAGTTCGACCACCCGCGCGGGCGTCGGCGGGCAGAAACCGAAGGCGGCCACCCACCCGAGCAAGCGCAGGATTCAGCCCAGTTGGGCCTCGGCGGCGCCCCCTCGGCGGCCGATGCGCAGCTGCCATCTCAGGCTGGAGGCGTTCCGCTGCTCCATGGCCAGCCGCTGCCGCGCAGGCAGGAAGACCACCACATTTTGCAGTCGAGCGGCGGCGAGACGTGGAGGGCCGTTGACGAGTTCGACCACCCGCGCGGGGGCGCCCTGTTTCTGACGACTGCAGGCGCTCCGCTGCTCCATCGCGCCGCGGGGGCGGCGCCAGCCTATTCGCCAACCAGGCCGCCCAGCATGCCGCCGCGCTCCGCCGCCGACGCGGGGCTCGCCGCAGGCCCCCCCGGCAAGACAGACCGCGCGGCGCGGGCGAGACAGTCGGCCAACGGAGGGCGGGCGGGGGCCTCCAGTGGCGCCCCCGCGGCCGCCAGGGCGCTGGCAAGCATGCGGGCCGACCTGGCGGAGATGGAGCTTCGGCAAGGCGAGCTCGTCGACAGCATGCCGGCAGCCACCGAGGATGCGGCGCCCGCCACCCCTGTCGCTCCAGCTATCACCACGCTCATGATCCGCAACATTCCGATGTCTGTGACGCAGAATGACCTGCTGGACCTCATCGACAGGGCTGGTTTCGAGAACCGCTACGACTACGCCTACATGCCGACCAGTTTTGACAGTGGGACCACTAGAGGGATCGCATTCGTAAATTTTGCCACCTCAAGCGACGCCCGTGATTTCTCCATCTTGTGGAACGGATCGCGGCTGACCGGAGTTGCTGGTGCTGGAAGCAACGGGGCCGTGATCGAGGTCACCGTGTCGGCGACGCAGGGCTATTCGGAGAACGCCAGGATGTGGAAGGCGCGCCGGCTGCGCCGCATTAGAAATCACAAGTTTCACCCCTTCATCGCCCCGAGGCCAGCTGCCTAGTGAACGCGCGGTTGGCAGTTTCGTTAGGTCGGGCATGTCTTCCTACAGGCGCATTTTGAACGAAAGCAAAAAGTAGCCAATAAATCATCAAACATAGTGAAAAATAGTCAACCAAAATCGTCCCCATATTTGTTTTGTGATTATTATTTTTGAATATTCCCCCTGTAGAGAAACATGTCCGACTTAACAGTTTCTTTGGACGCGCGGGACGCGGGGGTTGAGGGGGGGAGCGCGGAGGAGGCCAAGGAGGACGAGGGCGAGGGCGCGGGCGCAACCGCAGCCGGCCCTGGAGCGCTCCATTCGACGGCGCTGGGCGCGAGCAAGGCGGGCCATGTGCCGAGAGGGCTTTATTAGTCGCGCGCGCGTGCGTTCTTGAAGAAGGGGGATGCGGGTGGTGCCGAGGAGAGAAGGAGGGGAGGAGAGTGCCAGCCTCACTTGCGGGACTCATCCGTCCCTGCTGATTGCGCAGCTCTGGCAGCGACAGGGGCTGTACATTCTGGTCCTCGGCTTTTCCTGACCACGCTGTTTTTCCGTGCCCGGACAGAACATCTGGGCGACACTCCGAAGGGAGGTGCCCAAGGTTCCTGCATGAATTCACATGCAGTCGGACCTCGCAACATGGATGGCGGCACAGACCCGCCCCGGGCGTCACATCTGCGCCGCCTTTGCGAGGTGCCTCGAGATGCCACCCCGAGACACGGGCCACCGGCACCACCCCCCCTTGGCCGCCGGCCTCGAGCAGCGGAGGCCGGCCCCGCTGCCCAAGGACGTAAGTTTCCGCGCCCCCCACGTCGGGGGACCCCCTCAAGTAGCCCCATCGAGCCTCTCAGGGGTGGTACGGCGAGTCTGCACCTACTGTGGCGGACCAACCACGGGGCAAGAGTCTCTCCCACAGCCCCGTCGCGCTGTGGTGACGATCGGGCTGCCAACCCTCCTGTTTTCTTGGGACGCCACGAGGGCACCCGGCGGCACAAGTGCCAGCCTGGTCACGCTGTTCCTTCGCGACGTTTCCAGGCTACTACTAGTAGTAAATGTTTGCTTCCTCGTCTTGTGGTTGTGTATTCGAGACATGCAGAGCCGAGACAGTGCAGGGACGATTGTTCTGCTCTGATGCGACGTTTCAAACATGGAGCAGTTCCAGTGCATTTCGTTTCCCCTTCTTTTTTTGTTTTTCGCAGCGCGCAGCGCTTGCTTGAACCTTGCAAGCGCAGGGAAACCTCAACATCGTCGGCAGCGCGCGCAATAAATCCTGTGGCCGCACTCGTTCCAGAGGGCCAGGCACAAAGGTTTGCGCAGATGTGCGGATGATGGAAACGAATGTTATTTCGGTAGTGGAAGCACGAAGGACGTCAGATCAAGACGCGTCATGACGCGTGTCATCCGAGCGGCCCGTGCGCTCTGCTCGGGCCCGGGATCGGTGTTCTTCTGCAGGAGATGCGGCTGGTCTGGCCCAGCAGGCACCTAGCCGTCGAACCCACAGGTATACTCATCGGTTGTTCGGTCCGCGTGGATCTGAGCGGCAGGCGGCATGGGGTGCCGCCCCCTCTGACTTTGCGGGGGCGCGTCGGCGTTGACCGTTTTTCGATCCCGCCACCTCTTTCAGTGCCTGCCAGGCGCCCGCCCGCCCCCCTGAGATCCAGAGGGCAAGCTGCTCTTCGACCTCGACCCCTCCATCTCCATTTCTCCGTATCCTGATGCCTGCTGCACGTGCTCCTCCAGCTGTTGTGGCAGCGCGTGCGTGATGTTTGAAGGCTGCTCTCTCTCTCTCTCTCTCTCTATCTCTCTCCGCCCTCCGTCGTTCCCCGTTCCTCCCCTCCTGCACGTGCTCCGCCAGTCGGCGTGACAGCGCGTGCACTCTGTTTCTCAACAGTTCAAGCGATCCGTTGCAACTTCTTCAGGAAAGGCCAGAAAAGTCGGCCCAAGATGCCTCACAGACGGCCCCAGGATGGGCTCAAGAGGAGGAGCATGAAGCGACGTTTTGGGTTCTTCGCCCCAAGAGGCTCCCAGGAGGCCCCAAGAAGGCGCCAGGACGGCCTCGGGCAGGCTTCAGCGGGCGCACGAGGCCCCAGACGAGGGCCTTGAGAGGCACAGATGTTTGAGTTCCTTTTGGGTTTTTTTTTTTTTGTTTATCAGTATTTCAAGGGTCCTCCACTATTCGAGTTTCCTGCGTTCTGGGGCGCTCCAAGAGGCTGCCAGCGTCGCGGGACTCACAAACGACCGCGAGCCATGGCCGTGCCGACCCGCCCATTGGTACGGCGACGGTCAGACAGTCACACACACACACACCACACACACACGCATATCCGACCACCCTTCGGGTGATAAGGAGGTTGTGAGGGGGGGAGGGGGGGGACAAACATCTGACTCAATCGATCTCACTATCGATCTCACTCAACCAGACACCACGGGACACCACGGGACACCACGGGACACTTCTTGATCTCACGATCGATCTCACTATCGACCTCACTTAACGGGACACCACACCACGGGACACCGTGGGACACCCCTCGATCTCACTATCGGTCTCACTATCGATCTCACTGTCGAGCTCATTCAACGGGACACCATAGGACACCACGGGACACCTCGGGACACCACATCGATCTCACTATCGATCTCACGATCGATCTCACTATCGATCTCACTCAACGGGACACCTCGGGACACCACGGGACACCTGTCGATCTCACTATCGATTTCACTATCGATCTCACTTTCGCGGACACCACGGGACACCTCAGGGCACCACATCGAACTCAGTATCGATCTCACTATCGATTTCACTCAACGGGACACCACGGGACACCACGGGACACCAGTCGATCTCACCATCTATCTCATTATCGATCAAACTTCTTGGGACACCACGGGACACCACGGGGCACCACATCGATCTCAGTATCGATCTCATTATCGATCTCACTCAACGGGACACCACGGGACACCACGGGACACCGCGGGACACCGCGAGCCAACGCTGGACGGACGGACGGACGGACTGGCTGGCGGGGAAGAATCATTTGTTTTGACTTCGCCCTAGCAACGGCGGACACCACGGGACACCACGGGGCACCACGGGACCGCGGGACACCGCGAGCCACCGCCGCACGGGCGGGAGGGAGGGGGAGAGTCATTTGTCTTGACTTCGCCCTAGCAACGGCGGACACCACGGGACACCACGGGACACCACGGGACACCACGGGACCGCGGGACACCGCGAGCCACCGCCAGACGTGCGGGAGGGAGGGGGATAATCATTTGTCTTGATTTCACCCTGGCAACGGCGGGATCATTCCTCTCGCGCGCCCACGCAGCTTCGCCTCGGCCGCACGCACGACACGAACATAACCACACGATTTCCTGGTTGGGGGTCTCCGTTCCAATGCGATCTCACCCCCCAACCTCCGATCTATCTCTAGATGTAAAGATGTATACAAACATATGTATGTACATACATAAATCGAACATTCATGCTGATATATACATACAAACAGACAGACATCCATCCATTCATCCATACATACATATATACACACATGCAAACATACGTACGCACGTACATACATACATACACACACATACATACACACATACAAACATACATACATACATACATACAGACAGACAGACAGACAGACAGACAGACAGACAGACAGACAGACAGACAGACAGACAGACATACATACGAACATACAGACACACATACATACACATGAATACAACGATTCCTCGACGTGCGTGGGCTGTGGCTGCAGGCTATCATTGGCCGGTCGCCCCCGCGCGACCGAGCCTCCGTCCTTCGCCGTCTCCGATGTCCGCCTCGCTCCTGGCGGCGGCGGCGTCCTCTTGCGGCCGGCGGGCGTTAGCGCCCCTCCCGGCCGTGGCCGAAGGCTCTCCTGGCGGCCCCGCGGCTGGAGCTGCGCTCCAGACCGTGAGCGTGATCGTGACCCGTATACGGGGCCAGCAGCCCGCTGGCCGAAGCTGCCCTTGGGGAGGGCAGGGCGTGCAGCGACGTGGGGGCGCAGACGGAGCCCCCGGCGGAGTCTGCGGTCGCCGCACTCCGCGCACCCTCGTCCGCCCCGCCCCGCGTGCCTTGGGCGGCGCGGACCGAGGTCTGGGCCTGCGCGGTCTGGGCAAGCCTAGCGGCACCCTGGCTCTTGGGGGTGCACTGCGGCGCCAGGCGGGCCTAGGAGGCTATCGCCGAGCGGACCAGCAGCCACCGCTACTTCCGCGGGGGCCGCCTCCGTCGCTTCGCCACGGAGGACGGGGCGGTCTCGGGCCACCTCGCGAAGGCCGACCGCCACGCTGCGTCCGTGCCGAGTCCGTGCCCCCCCCCCTTCCACCGCTGGTGAAGATGGCTCGTGGGGACGACGCCCCCGACACTTGCGATGGTGAGGTGAGGGACCTCGGGGCCTGGATCGAACAGGCCACGCCTCTGTACGTCGCCGCCTCCACGCTGCTACCAGCTCCTGTCGCAGGCGTCCATGGCCGTGGGATTCGGGTTCGAGACGCGGGGGGACAGTGGCGATTCGGTCCACGAGGTCGTGGGGGCGGCGTCGCGGGTGCGCTCCGACGACCCCTCGATGGCGGCGGGGGTGCTAGCTGGGCGGCTTGACGCGGCCCACGAGACGGTTCAGTTGCCTGCCTGGGACCGCGACGGCGTGCCGCTCGCTGGTTTGTGCCTTTCTGCCGAGATCATGGAGACGCCGAGCGCCTGGGGGCGGCAGCTCGCCGCTGCCCCGTCCGTTTACGGCCAGGCCTTCGCCTCCCGCGACGATCGATGGCTGGCGCGCCGAGCCGAGGTCTGCCCTGGGCGCCGCGCCGCCCCCCAGTGGCCCCCAGGCTGCAGCGAGCGGCCGCCAGGGCCAGCCGCGTGGCCCGCCGAGGTGGCCATCCCCTACCCGGCCTGGGTGTCCGCGGGCCATGTCCTGTGGGTTTGGGCCGATGACCTTTAGGATTTCTACCCGGTCGCGCCAATGACGTCGCCCGCCGCGCTGCACCGCTTGTGGGGCCGCCGCCGTCGAGGGGGCCGTGATCTCCCTGAGCAGGT